AAAAAAAAAAAAAAAAAAAAAAAAAAAAAAAGAAAGAAAATTTGGAAAAAAAAATAGTATATATCTCAAAGTATTATCCTGCCACTTATGTTCTCCACTTCCAACAGATGCAAGCTGAGATGTTTAAATTCTAATATATGAACTAGCAAAAAAAAAAATGATATGGGTCTAAAACTGCTAAACAAAATAGTTCAGACATCCACCAACAATGCCCCCAGTTTTGTCCTCTTGTCTGCCTTGCCCCATTTTAATACATGGAATATATGGACCACCATGGTGCAGGCATTAGAAGTGTTCCCAGACTAAGATATGTTTTGCAATTCACTAAAGTTGAAGGGCCCTTGGAGATTGTCACATCCTCCCCCATCACTTCCCAGATGAGAACATATTCAAGGTACTGGGCTTGTGGGAGGCAGAGGTCACTTGAGGTCCAGGTCACCAGCTCTCTTTGCCCCTCACTGTCCTCTAGATCAGTTCATGCAATCTATTTGTGTATTAGTCCATTCTCATACTGCTAATAAAGACATACCTGAGACTGGGTAATTTACAAAGGAAAGAGGTTTAATGGACTCACAGTTCCACATGGCTAGGGTGGCCTCACAATCATGACGGAAGGTGAAGGAAGAGCAAAGGTACATCTTACATGGCAGTAGGCAAACATGTGCAGGGGAACTGCCCTTTATAAAACCATTAGATTTGATGAGACTTATTCACTATCACAAGAACGGCATGAGAAAACCTGCCACATCATCCAATTATCTCCCACTGGCTCCTCCCACTATACATGGGGATCATGGGAGCTACAATTCAAGATGAGATTTGGGTGGGGACATAACCAAGCCATATCAGGTTGATTATAGATATGTTTGAAAATCTAAAAATTAAAATTTAAAGAGTGCTCAATGGTATGGATAAGAATTAGAGGATTCAAGCAAGAAAGAGAGCACCTTGGCTTCACAAACAAGCCACAGAAATGGGAAAAGACCAGTGGCTGTTTGTAAGCCATCACCTAGCTTGTTGTACAGACTTACATGTAGATCCAGATAAAGCTCAGTGAATTTGCTCAGCATCAGAGAGTTTTGATTGTAACAGAAACCTGTAAATTATGATGTCTACACATTGTACAGATATATGAAACTTTCACCATTATTTGGTGATGTGAGGTCAAGAATAACAAAAAAATCAATTTTAGGTGGACAAAACATAATTATATCTTTTTTTCTTAATATACAGGACCATAGAAAAGATCTATCCATATTATGTGAAAGCACCTAGTGATTCTAACTCAAAGCCCATAAAGCAACTTTTATCTGGTAAGAATGAGAAAAATTTGTTTCAGAATTTTTTTAAATCCTACTTTCATTCAATGTCAACAGTTTGTGTTTGGGGCCTTCATCAAACTACCTGCTAGTTATTTCTTCCTGTGTGTCAAGAATTATAAAACCCCTGCCTTCCTTTACTAGCCCAAAGGAGTTACTCACTCAGCTGGGAGCGACATTCTTCATTTTCTCTTTTCCATTGATATAGAACTTGATTGACTTAAATTCACACCAAGTTTCTTATAGTACTGATTAATTAGACTATTGACTTGTTTCTATTAGCAGCCAGATTACTGACAGAAAACTGCCTGATACATTGTTAAATATGTCTGCCCCTCACAATAAGAACAGTAAAAAGATGCCATGAAGTGTATTTGATTCATCCCAAGGGTTAGTAAGTATCAGTAGTGGCATTTTAGTGACTGAATTTTCCCAATGTAATTTGGATGGTATAATTTCATGTTTCCTGTTTCTGGATTCTATTAATTATCAAGAATTGCTTGACTTCATGGCTTGAATCAGAAGCAGATGTATAGATCTGGACAATGTAGAAAACCAGTGCAGTTATCTGGTACACATTCATTCATTCTCCAACATGGGCTGTTCACTATGCACCAGGCTGTAGGCTAGGCACTGGAGCCTGGGTTCCTGTGTTTAGCTGGAAAGACACAGACATAAGTAAGAATTGGAAAGCCACACAGAGATTGGGCTGGTAGAGGCCCAATGGAGGGTCCTGGGGATGGGCACAGGCTGGGCCCCACATCCACACACCTTTCTTCCTCTGCAGTAAATAAGTATGTCTTGCAAGGTATTTGCAAGATGCATTGAGAAGTTTGCTATTTCCCTTTCAGCCAGGAATGGTTCTAGAAGTGTTTCATCTGTACATGCAGATTACTCAACAATTAGTCATTCCCCATGAAGTAACTCTGTCCCTCCACAAGCTCTTCTCATGGTGACTCTGTGCTGCAAGCTCCTGAGTTTCCTTCTTATAGCTGTCTCTGGACTTTAGAACCACCATTCTTCCTGTTCCTGTGGGTTCTGCGTTGTTCACGTTCTTCCTTGATAAGGACTTTGGCTCTAACAAGATCATGCTGTGTCTTACTCTTCTTTGTTGATCCATCCTTCCGTGCCATAGAATACTTTTTCATCAAGCACCATTCTTGGATTCCTATCATCTAGGATAAGCTTGTCCAACCCACAGCCCACAGGCTGTGTGTGGCCCAGGACAGTATTGAATATGGCCCAACACAAATCCGTAAACTTTCTTAAAACATTATGAGATTTTTTTGTATGACTTTTTTTCAGCTCATAAGCTATTGTTGGTGTTAGTATATTTTCTGTGTGGCCCAAGACAAGTCTTCTTTTTCCAGTGTGGCCCAGGGAAGCCAAAAGATGAGATACCCCTGATCTAGGAATTTAGTATGAAATAATGCTGATGTGATTCCCACCTTCACAGAGTTTACAGTTCACCGCCATGTTTCTCAGGAGAAGCACCAGCATCATTGGCAGGAGTGATGTCTTCTTAGAAGGACCTATGCAATGTCACTACAAGCTTTTTTCCCCTATCTTCTACAAGTCTTTTGCTTTCACCCTAAATTCCAAGGAAAGTAATCATTGACCCGATATTATAGTTCTCAGAGGTTTGCTGAGCTGCATGCCATCACTCTTCCTGAAATGAGCTCCTCTCCTCACTCAACTTCACCTATTGAAGTTCTCACTTGGCAAATCTCAGCTCGGAAGTTATCTCCTCTGTGAATCGCCCATGGATCATACTAACCAGAAATGGTCTCTCCAAGCCAACAGACGTTGTCAGTGCTGGCCCTATGGTAGCTGTCGTGTGCGCAAAAATTGCGCTCATGTACATAGTCTTTTTCCATGGAGATAAGGAACAATCTTATATGCAATTTTGGAACCCCTTAGTAACTAACTGAGTGCCTTCCTCCTATAAGACATTCAATAAATTCTGGTAATATGAATAAATTGGTTCAATCATGAGTCAGTGATTTGGGTTTTTAAATGTCTACAGAGTCATTTGGGATTATCAGCTCAGCTGCTCAGGTGGTGAATCCTCCACTGTGGGCCCACTCTTCCTTGCCCACTCGCACTGTTAGTATGTCTATGCATCCTTCTCATCCTAGAACCTTATGCTATAGTTAGTAACCAGGTTTTGCCACCTGAAAACTGTTGCATTAAATCCTAAAATTCTCATGCTGAGTTGATTTTGTGTTTCTACCCTTCTAGAAAATAATTTCATGGATATTACCATCATTTTGTCCAGAGACAATACAACTAAATATAACAGTGAGTGGTGGGTTCTCAACCTGACTGGGAACAGAATATACAATCCGGAGTCGCAGGCCCTGGAACTGGTGGTCTTCAATGACAAAGTCAGTCCCCCAAGTCTGGGGTTCCTGGCTGGCTATGGGTAAGGACTCATTGAACAATTCACAGTTACGTGAGTCCACTTCTGTATCATATAAAGTTGAGAGCCTTTTATCATATAAAGTTGGGAAGCCTTTTATCTTCTTAGAATATTCTAATTTTAGAGCTGTAATATTAAAATGCACACATCCTTGGCCCTTCATTTCAAAAAATGAGGCACCAGAGTCCCATAGAGATCAAAACACCAAGTGTGACTCACACAGCCCAGGCATATGGTTTCTTCACTCCGCATCTTGCTGTTACGGCACAGTTTAATGCAATTCAGTGTTTACATTTAGAAATTGGCATAGAAATAATCACTTTTCTGCTTAGATTTTCTTCTAACCCTTAGCAGATGGATCTATTAGACATCTCAGTTTCGAACTTCTGAACCATCTCGTAATGTTTTGATGCTTAGATCCTAGGACACACGCATCCCCAAAGACACAAATATAAAATGTATTTCTCAAAGTTAGCCTCATAAGAAACTATTTTCACCCTGAATTTTATTATAAAAATTAATCTCTGAGAAAGACAGTACTGCTAAAAGGAAAGAAGATAATTATACATAATTACATTTCTACCAAATATATTATATGGTTTATGCATTTAATATATGCAATAAAACCACCGAAAGTTCATACATGAAACAGTTGGTATTGCTTTTTTTCAGAATGTGATATTGTAAAGGACTTTCATTTTTCAAGTCTAATAGTTCTGTAATACACAATTCTATTTTCTTTACAAAAAACATGAATTATCCTTTTAATCATAGAAAAAGTCAATTTTTTAACCAAAAGGAAGAAAAGGTAAGATTTGATATGGCTATTTCATCTATGGAATTTGAGGGAAAATAATATTATTTTTCCTTTGAGACATGCTTTATAAACCATATTTAACTGCTATATGCAATTTCTACTTGCTGTTTTTTTCAGTATTATGGGATTATATGCTTCAGTTGTCCTTGTGATTGGGAAATTTGTCCGTGAATTCTTCAGTGGGATTTCTCACTCCATCATGTTTGAAGAGCTTCCAAATGTGGATCGAATTTTGAAGTTGTGCACAGATATTTTTTTAGTTCGAGAAACAGGAGAACTGGAACTAGAAGAAGATCTCTATGCCAAATTAATATTCCTGTATCGCTCACCAGAAACAATGATCAAATGGACTAGAGAAAAAACAAATTGAAACCTTAGAACACAGACTGCAAATAATGTTAACATTTGAATTTTTTAAAAAGCACAATATTCTCATAAGAGCTAAGCATTTCTAGTTCGATGGAAATGGTTTGTTTCTCTTCTGACAGGTAGACAAAAGGAGCTGATATCCTTTTACAGTAAAAGCTACCTTGCAAGTTAGGGCACTGTTGAAAATATTATGTGTCACTCCATTTCTCTGAGATCAGGGCTACTTGCTTTATGTTTTAGTCAACAGTGTCTTGCATTCTGATTGATCATGTGAAGGAATCATTTATGGGCCCAGTCCCTGAGAGAAACAAAAGAGAAGTCAGAAGGAAAGATGCTTGCGTTTTCCTCTGCGGGGACTGCACCCTTCCTGGAGAGAGGCTACAATGCAATATACAGCACTCCATCCCACTGGGGAAGCTGCTCTGATGAGACTAGAGGAGCCTTCAACACACTCAGAATATGCAACAGCAATAGGGGGCGGACACTCCTACCCTTGTTTCTAGGGGCAAAAGAGAAGGAACTAATTGCCCATGAAGATGCCAGTGGAATGATCAGCCTCATTCTAAGCAAAAACATAACATTAGTGATTCTCTTACTGCCTTATCTTAACCAAGGACTAATAAGATACCTTTCCATTAAACACCAGTGACTTCTCAGGAAAAAAAAAAAAAAAAGCAGAAAAACAAATGATGTGGACACCTGCTTTGTTGGGGTCCAGCCATGACTGGCTTCAATAAGGACAACTATTCTGGAGGGCTGCTGTCTCCCGTGCAAACGGATGTGAGGCAGAAGAGTAAAAAGGCCAACCCAGTGGGACCTGGAATACTTTGACTTTGTAACTCTTTAATAACTGAGGTCAGGACCGCTCTTCTGCCTTTCCCATCCCTCGACATGCTTTTTCTCATTTCCATGATTTAAGGCAATGGTTTTTCCAGTATGTGACATTTTCCTTCCTGTTTTTCAGGTATATCAAAGAGTTTACATATTCCAACTCACATTTTTACATCTGAGACGGGTTTTTTAAGTTCATAATTATGAAAGAAATATGTATATTGAGCTTGGGGAAATAAAAATGGCCTTTTCTTAAATTATTATTATTGGTAATACAACCTCTTCATTAAATAACAATGTAGCATGAAAAATTTATGATTGAAATGTAGTTTTCATTCCATATTAAGATACAGTTTCTGAGAAGAATCATTGAATGGTCTAGAATATGTCAAAAAATTGATCCTGTGTGGTTTGGGTTCAGGGCTGACTTAAAATAAAGCACACCCTGCAAAGTCATTTTAAGAATACTCCTTATTTGGGCTTTTTGCATGACATAGAAAACAGATTGTTTTTGATACAATGTACAGAATTTTTTTTAATCAACTGAAACAAGAATCCACTTCTTGCTGGTTCTATTTTGTTTTGTTTTGTTTTTCTCATATAAGCAGGAAACAATAATAAAATAATTTCCAAAAAGGAAACAATTACAGTGAATATGGAGCTTTTTAAAAAGTAGTAGACTTCAAATGATGTCGTGAGTTCTACGGAATGAATTAGTGCATATTTATTCTTGTGCTGTGAAAGCCAGCATGCTTCCCCCTGTGGAGATAAACTGCTTCCAGCATTGCAACAATAAACTCAAATCACTTAGTGGAACTTGCATGACGGTCTGATTTCCCAACAGCAGAAAGAATCATGGGGCATATCTGGTTGTGAGTTCTTTCTTTTTTTAAAAAAAAAGTCAACAGGAATTTCCAGAAAGCAAACTGTAGCTCATTCAGGAAAGATTAGGCATAGGAAAACGCTCATGAGAAGAAAATGTAAAGGCCAGAGGATACCAGAATTGAAATATTCCTCAAGAAAACAATTTCCAGGATGTAAGGCAAAAGCCTCCAGATGCATAAGAGAGGAACATATTTCAGGAAAGAGTGCTGGGCAAAGAGGACATTCCTTTCAGGACTGGGTGTGCTGGACTGGAAATCACACAGAGAGTGCCAAAGCCTGGCTTCTGGTCCTGGCAGACCTGGACAAATGGGTCTCTCACCCTCCCCAACCCTCCTTTATCTGAGGCCATCAGGGATCATAAGCTCTAAACAACAACATGCTAAGCCTCAAAGGGTGCCTACCCGGCCAAGCAGCCTGCTGCTACCTTAGATTGGGTCTTTTAGAGATAAACTCTGAGACAGCGTTACCTGAGGTCATTTTAGGGCAGTGATCACAGATTATACAGGTCAGGGAGGAAGGCAGGACCAGGCAGAGAAGAGCCACAGTTGCAACTGAGCCCTGAAGCCAGGGTGGCCCTTCCTTTATCCCAAGCTAAGCCAGAGGTGTTGGGATCCCACACCAGCAAGCCGTTGTCATAGCCATCCCCTGGGCAAGGACTTAACCTTTCACGAGGCAACTCCCTGCTGGCTAGAGGTTTTTGCCTTTGAGGGACAGGGGCAGTCAAGGGCATGTATGTGTCCATAGGGGATCCTAGGAGATCACAGTACCATCACTGTCTACCCTAGAACACTGGCTTCTAGAGTAAGCCTGTGAGATCTTACCTCTCTTGCAAGGGAAGAGCAAAGTGAAAGGAGCTACAGGCCTGCCCGTAGCTGGTTTCACGGTCAAAGTGAGACTCATCACCCAACCCTCCTGCGCCCTTTCAAGATCCCTTCACCCATGGCCAGCAGTCCTGGTGGGATCAGCTAGACCCTAAAGCTGAGGGTCCGAGGTCTTGGTTTCAAGCCCTCCTCAGGTCCTGGCTGCAGCGTTGCCTCTTTGTCATTCAAACTGGGCATCAAGCACCAAAAAGGGATGATCCCCTGAGCACCAACGCGTTCTTCCTGCCCGGCTGGGTGGCAACAGCCTCTTCGTTCTGCTGACCTGGGTCGATTAGCCTTGTCAGTAAGGTGACCCCTTCCCTGGCCATATCTGTGACCTTTGTCCCGTTGCTATCCTTCTGACTGAGCCATCCCTTCTGAAACCATGTTTTACTTTATCATTAATTTCTTCCTGAATTCTGCCTCATTTCTGAGTTTTCTAATTCTGATTTTTATTGTTCTTTCATGTCTTCTATTTTTTATGAATTTACGTTAGTTCATTTTGAAACACTGGATTGTGGTGTGCACCCATTGGTGAGCATATCTTTCTGGCAAACTTTGATATGCTCAAGGCCACGATCCCGCCCCTTATTCTTTTTCACCGGCCACATTTGGTGTTGGATTGACACACGGTCCTTTTCTGTTGTTCCTTTGCGGGGGACATTTGTTTCCCTGACTTTAGGATAGGAAGCTCTTCCAGCTTCACAGCTCTGGAGGCCCCTCCACTGTGGTTTTCACTGGTTCCCAAGTGTGCCTTTCCTTCCTGAGACCTCTGCTGTGTCCCCTTGCCCACTCTGTTGGGGCTGTTTCTTCCCAGTAGCAGCTGGTCTGTGCCACATGGACTCTCTCCCCAGCAGCTTCTTCTCAGGGCCGATGCAGCACGGGGCCTGATTCTGGGAGGAAGTGTCAACCTGTCACTTTGGAGAGTTCACAGGCCCAGCCCTGCGCAGCCCCTTGCCCACCAATGAGCATGGGAAAACTGCCCTCCAAGGGTCCAGGGGCTGTCGTTGCATGGGTGACCTGACCCTGGATCTGCCAGGCCAGGCTGACCTCGCTCCTCTTTTCTCCTGCCTGTGATGAGCTTATCCTGCAGGCGTCCTGTCATTCCTTGGAGTCCAGCTTTGTCCTGGCCTGGATCTCATCTGCATTTCTTTTGTTTGTTCGTTTGTGGGGGATGTGATAGGGAGCGATTGAGGAAGTGCCAAGCTCTAGGATGCCACTACCTTTACCTGCCCAGAATTCCCCTACACAGAGCCTGTAAGCACAGTATTGAATGAGGGAAGAATACTTTGAATTTCACAGAGGTAACAGTCTGAAATTACATTGACCAAGTTAGATTAAGTATTTAGCATAAAAGCACTTGATACAAACAGTGCACACAAATGATTGGTTCTCAGAGCCTACATTGTTTTGAATCAAGGGCATTTTTTAAAAATTAAAACATTATTCTTAATCAAAGTGTTATCTTAAGACATAGGTGTCTGTGGTTACATTCCCACACATTTTTATTGAACATTATTGCATATTAGTCTATTTTTTAGGATTTTCAGAGTAGTTAAGTGGTTTTCCCTATTGTTTATTTGCTTTCTAGTTTATAAATCTATTTTTATCTTTTTTTTTACTTCTTTGTGTTGTTCTTTATTTTTCTTCTGACTTTTTAAGATACATAACTGAGTTTTGAGCTATCTACAATGTTTCGCAAATCAGAAATATAAATGCTGCAAACTTACAGAACTCATCATTTGGAAGTTTATTTAACTCTTCCACATTTCTCCAGCTTTGCAGATTTGAGTATTACATTTCAGCTGTTAGGCTGCATGTAAGACCATGACCAGATGTTCATCCAGACCCGCGGCATGGCAGAGGCCTCGGTGTTCACTATCTCCTTCAGACCTCCTGACGCAGGATATTCTTAGGCAACCTTCCCGTGGCTGCTGCTTCTCCATGTTTGCAGTTTGAAAATGGACTAGAGCCACTAGCACAAGACAATGATCATCTTGAATGTCCATAGCAAAGAAATTAGTATCTTAAATGTTTAAATTATTATGCTTTACAATGTTGCCTTTTCTAAGTTAATGGTATTTATACTTCTAACACCATTACAGCTTAAACCTGCAGTAAGATCTTTGGGAAACCCTGTGTTTTCTTCCACATAAGACTAAGTTCTGTACCAGAGAGCTTCGCAGCAGGGTTGTCACAGACATCCAGAAGCACGGCAGGTGTGGGTAACAAACCAGACTGTGAGGAAGGGGAGAGAAAGGCTCACAGAGAGAACGTCCTGGAGGGAAGTTCGAGGAGACAGAGGAACTTCGGCAATATGCTAGCATTGCAGACCTGACCCCTTCTGGAGCTTCCTTAAAGTGTTCAGGGAAAGCCAGATGGAACTGTGCCTGCCTCTCCCATCCAAACACTTACTCCATGTGCAGAGGGCAGAGTAAAATTGCTGGAGATGGCTTCAGGAGCTGATAGACTAATAAGAATATCAGTAATGCTCCAATATTTGCTCTTATGATTATGTATCAAACCCTGTGCTAACAGCATGAGCTGTTGGAAACAGAAAGAGGGTTAGAGACTTGGTGTTGGAACCAGGTGTGTTGGAACCAGGACTTGCCTTGTTTCCCAGAAAGCCAGTCTGCCCTGAAGGCCAGCCCTCCTGCTTCTCCACCAAAGGCTCCTGTGGCCGTCTGGCGAGCACTAGTTAGTGAGCACCCCCACTTGTCAGACCGTGCCTCGCTCATGTGCCTGCTTGGTATGGTCGGTGTGGGGTTGGGTCCTCGTGAGCTATTTTCCTCTTCCTACCTCTGGGCCTTCCATGTTATTTATTCCCAGGCTAATGAGCTTCCAACAGGGAAACGTGCAATGATTTTAAACCTGCATCCTTTCCCACACAGAGTATTACTGAATTCCTCAAGTAATGAGGGTGATGGAGCTGACTCACCCCTGCACCTCAACCAGCTCTGCCTCCAGCCCCTCGGCTCTGAGGTCAGAGAGTCAGATGGCTGCAAAAGCTGAGAGTACTCTAAGACTGAGAGGCATGTCGGGTCTAAAGTGCCACCCAGGTCAAACTTGGGCGATTGTACAACCCTCCAAAAACCACTAAGACCTCTGAGGTTTCATACTAAACCACAGAATCAGACTTTTGTACTTGGTGGCCTGGTCTTTCTATATTCCTTGATAATCTCACAAATTAGTTCATATGAATAAAATAATGCTTATAGATATGGGTGATATAGAAAAATATGACTATTATTAAGATCAATGCGTTAACAGATTTGGTTTTGATGTCTTTTCTATCCCAATCAAAATCAGACTTGGGGGACATCATTTGACATTGGCAATTGTTGAAATCTTACCCTGCCCCATTCTTACCAAGTGCCCCATTCTGCTCACACTCACAGTACCCATATATGCTTCAAAGCTGCCACTGTCGAAGGGAAGGCAGCCCTCCAGCTCTGCCCTGCCCTGGGGAGCTCCCGTGCTCTACTCACCTTGTGGGTAACCCCCCCACATAGGCACCGAGGAAGGAGAGCTAAGCAGAACCCTGGCGCAGTTAGGGCTTGAAGAGTATCTCACTTTATAGTGTTACTACTCAGCAATTTCCTTTTATATAATCCTTTATACGATCATATATTAGTTTATAGAACTAGGGCTTGAAGAATCCCTTTATCTAATCCTCTATATATAATCATATAATAGTTGATAGTATGAGTG